TCTTCTACTGGATGCATTTGATTTGTTGTTGTTTACTTTTGAAGATCCTTGTGATTTCCTGTCGTTTAGAGGATTTGTTGAAAATCCAAGAAAATCTTCAAGTTCATCGATGCTTGCCTGTCTGACATCATCGATTGCCGCTCTGGCACTAGGACTTGCTGCACTCGCACTAGAACCTGCTATTCGGCAGGTATTTTCCTGTCTGGTTTCTGCTTGTCTAGCATAGATACCTGCTATCTGACTGGTATTTCCATTCATGATAAATGAGTTGGATTGCATATTCCCTAGTTGAATTCTTCTTGTAGCTCGAAGGACCACTATTGTTCCTCAATCTTGTCTTCCAGATATTTAAATTTCTTTCTATTTCGTTAAAATGTTGAAATCATTCGATGACACTTTTTTATCTGTGACAACTCTTTATTTTTTAGTTTTTCAACTGTCTGTCATAAACAAAATATACTATATGATCGAATCAATAATAGATTAACATTTATATATGAAATGACGAGAACAACTAATATTAGAAAATTTTTCAGGAAACTGCGAATAAATACCATTATAATTCCTAAACTGTTGATTAGGAATAATTTCTGTTAAATTGTCTCTTGCAAATGTCTCGATATTCGAAATATCCTGTTGGGTTAGTTCTGCAATGAGCCTCAAAGATGAAAAGCCATTGATGATCAGCATATTCTTTAGTTCCTCTGGTATATGAATTTCTAGTTGTGTTGCGGCCATATCGACTTCGGTCCATGTAAAGCTGCTTGTCGATGACTTGTCATTTCAGGGGTTTGTATCTTGTGCGGTAGCATATTCATCTGTGTTGTCTACTACAACATTTTCCTCGCCCTGATCAGTGTCCATTTCCGAGTCAATTCCTTTCAATCTGAAAAATTTGAACATGGTATTGAACATTGCACAATTTGATACGTGGGGTCCCAAGAAAGTAGACCAACTCGTAAACCATAAATATTTATGGTTAAAACTTTTTCACAAAAAGATGTACTTAACCGAGTACTTAACCGACTTCAACAGATGCACTAAAAAGGGGAAATAGTTCAATTAAACATTCTTTTCTCAACTTGATTATTTATTTTTGAAATCAGCGCCATTTAACTCACTTTATGACACACAAACTATAAGTACGTATGTTTCAAAACTGATGATGTAATGTTGACAAGCGGACATCATTACACATAATAACGTGTTTCCTAACTGGTTACGTCAATATCTATATTGTAAGTCGCTGCCGATTCAATATCTAATGTAAAAGTGACAACACTCCAGGACAGTTACCTCTTTTATAAGATATAGTACCTACCTATAGTGAGTAGGTTGATAGGTAATTTGGCGCCTATAAAAATGAATAAACAAGTTGAAAGAGGGTGTTAAATTGAATAATTTCCCCCTTTTGAACATTGAAGTTAGTTCTATTTTTTTGAAAAAAAATAACCCTCCGCTGAAAAGAATCTAGGAACGCCACTGTTCTTCATATTTTGTTTGATTTCAGTTGTCAAATGATCGAGTTTCAATGTACGAATTGGCATCAGTTCGTAACAACCCTTTTAACTTGATTCACGTTTTAAATTCTTGCAAAATCTTACCAACCACTGGTTCTGAATCACTATGCTCCCTAATTATTATTGAAATAACTGTTTCCTCTGTCCCCCTACATCCTCACCTTATGCAGTGCGTATCATATGAAGGAAAGATTATTATTATTATAACAAAAAACGAAGAAGTAATATTACCGTCTATGCACCAAATAAAATAAATATGGTTCATCTATGCTATATTGAAGAATGAAAACCTACTCTTCAGTTCTTTGGAATTAAGTTTTCATCGAAAATGTTAGTTTTTTGAGGTCAGCATCTCATAACAGCTGATGATTTGTCACTAAAAAACAATAGGACTATTTTGAAAAACTCGTCGAGCGCTATTTAGGGATTACCGACAATTGGACGTGGTCAATTGGACGCACGAAAATTGGACGCGGATAATTGGACGCGGCGACAATTGGACGCTGCGACAATTGGACGCGGCGACAATTGGACGCGACGAAAATTGGACGCGGCGACAATTGAGCGCATGCGAAAATAAAAATAATTTTTTAATTCCAATGAAATTTATTGCATGGAATATGCAGGGCTCATATCTATAATATAACAAATACCTAACCTAACCTAACCTAACCTAACCTATTGTACTATATTCGTATCGTAAATTCATATTACGATATGAGATAGGAAAATAATTGTCAAACGAGGCCATAGGTATTTGTTATAATTATGGATATAAGCCCATCAGTATTTCATATTTTATACAATGAATTTCATTAGAATTATAAAATTATTTTTATTCACGCATGCGTCCAATTGTCGCCGCGTCGAATTGTCGCCGCGTCTATTTGACGCCGCGTCTAATTGTCGCCGCGTCCAATTGTCGCCGCGTCCAATTGTCGCCGCGTCCAATTGACTGCGACCAATAGTCGTGCGTTCAATTTTCCACGTCCAATTGACGCGACACCCTATTTAGAACTCCCATCAGAAATGTTAAGTTCTTTGGAATAACGTTTTCATCGAAAATGTTGGGTTTTTAAGATCAGCACCTTGACAGGTGAGCAATGAAATATTATGGATTTGTCACTAAAACACAATGAATTTTGAAGATCTTGTCGAGCGCTACTCAGAACTTCTATCAAAACTGTTCTGTTCTTCAAAATTATTTTTTCATCGAATCAGTAATCATTTTGATATTGTATATCTATTTCCGTTTGTACATGCCTGTATAAAATTGGGTACATGGATTCGTGTGTGCTGATAGTGACTCGATATATTATCAGGCTTCACAAGAACGGACTACCCCATAATGTTGTGCTACAAATCAGCCCATATTGTTTTCTGGTGCGAAACTGATTATGCTTTGGAATGAATAGGTATCAAAATAGTAATTTATGTAGCAAGGGCGAAAAACTGTATTATAGTCGAGTCTGCAAATTGATAGCCGAGGCTAGCAATCAAGCGAGACAATACAAAGTTTTTCGCCGAGGTGCATAATGATGTTACATTTTTTCGTCGACCTCATACACTTATATCAACATCACGGTCCTATTCCCACGTGAAATCTATAAAATTTCGTGAATAATTAATTTCATAGCAGCAAATTACAGTTGTGGTCAACTCACTCTCCGCGCGGACCAGGGTCAAAAATCCAGATCTATTTCATGCTGTAAAAATCCCAAGAACGGATAATAAAATGAACCTATGAGGTCAAAACATTATGTACTTTGGATAAACAGAAAAGTAACCTGTTTCCAACAAAATAAGAACAAACAAAACCAACATTCTTATAAAAAAATTATCATATTTCTAATTCTCAATTTAGAAATACATATATCATATGGTGAACTATTGAGGTCTAATTGATCGTTGAGTGAAATGTCATAATTTTTAAGTTTGTTGGTTTCTAATGATTCTAAATGATTGAGTCCCATACCTTCATTTTCTACGTATAGAATTTCAAAATTATCATCAAAACTATGGTTTTCTTTTAATATATGGTTGGCGTATGTTGAATTTGTTTTCTTTCTTGAAAACTGCATCATATTATTGTGCCTAATTTCCGAAAATTAAGGTTTATTTTACCTATCCACAGTTAACTAATCCTTCGGGTTGGGAAAGTTGGATATATAAAAGTTAAGCAAGCCAAGGTTAATTTAGTTCATTGTATTAGTATAACACCTGACGAAGCTACTGTGTTAGCGAAACATGTCGTGTGTTTGAGAATTTTGTGAAAATCTCATCGTTTGTGAAGTTTTTCATTTGCCATGAATTTCCATCAAGTAATGGCCGAGTCAATAAAAAAAAAGATGAATTTTTTTGTTTCCATTCCATTATTTATTGGTCGTGAATATGCAACGATCATGTAATGGCTATATTAACACACTCGCACACGGTTTACGATACAGATATTATTACATGCTCGTTTCCTAAAATACTATTGTTCGCACAGACACAGACTAGATCCTTGAACAGTTCTACTCTTCTTTGACTCACTGATGAGCACTAATTATTCACTTTTCATAACTTTTCGAATTTCATTTCTCCTCGTCGTCAATGTTGAATTCAAACTCGCTTTCTGTCTTACGTCTTCATCCTTTCACTACTCAACAAGTGCCGCATTTCGCATTAACCAGATCATTATGATGATTGATGAATCATATTATTGCATACACTACAGTATTCGAATAGATCAAATATATAATCAGTATGTTTCCTGAGCTGGAAAGATTTCGATCATAAATTTTTCTAACAATGCTGAGTTAAATCAACCGAAAATCAGAATAGTTCATTTGATATTTGTGAACATGCAACAAGATATCTATCTTATTATATAATTTATTTTACTATTTTGACTATGGGGGTTGATCATTTAAGTACGACTATATCTAGGTGCTGATTCATACCATTATTTCAATTAATTCCTCAACATAATATGAGTAGTAAAGGAACACGTCTACAATTATTTATAGTACCTACATGTTTCGAGTGTGAAACCCTGATGTTGATAAGAAACTTTTTTCATATTATTCAAATTCAAATTTGAAGTAGATTGGGGATACTAAAGCCTCAAAATTTTGTATGGTATCATCTCATCTCATGTGGAATAAATGGAACTGAAACTGAACTGTGGTAGAAGTATATTTTAGGGCCTAAGTACCCCCTTATACTATTTTAATAATATTAGAAACCTTCTTGAACGGAATTAGTTTATTGAATATTCGTCATTGCCAATGCCATTATATGGATGTAATTTTCTAAATTTCTTTTCCTATCCACTATTGATATTCCGAATATGAATTGAAAATGAGCCATATAAGCTTTAAATATGTGCTTAGTAGTGTTAAATATCGTTCACTAATCGTGGAGACAACAACTTCTTCAATTTGTGATACTATAGATTTCTGACATTGATATTTTATACGAGTTTCTCTATTCCAGGCCTGAATATGGATTCCTACTTCATTCCACCAGATAATGTAGTTGAACAATTGAAATGTTCCTTATGTGACAGCTACCTTTCAGTTTCTCCTGTGATGTTGATATCGGAAGATGGGAATCAATACAAATGTGGAAGGTGTAGCTCTATTAAAACTGTTATCAGCACCCGTTCAACAATTTATGAACATCTCGCTAAACTAATGACTTTTCCTTGTAACTTTAAAGACTGTGCGAAGAAAATTCCATTTAGTGATGTCAAAGACCACGAAAAAGTTTGTGAACAACGAACTATCATCTGTCCAAAATCGAATTGTAATGAATCTATCAAGGTCCAGAAGATTGCTCCACATTTCAAAGAGAAGCATAATGAGGTATATCATACAAACTATTTTTGTATCAAGAATGTATATGCTTATTATAACATTGATGTTCTGGAAAAAAATGGAAAAACCTATATCAGCTTCTTTGACTTTGACGATGTGAATTTTGGAGTGAGTATATGTGCCACTGATCCGACTGATACTTTTCAGTATGAAATTCAGTTGAAGTCTGATAAAAGTAATTTCGCCATTTCAATTACCAATCAAAATATTATCTTGTTTAATGAACGAGAGCATTGTTTCAAATGTGTGAGTGGCACTTGTAAATCAAAATTTCATGTTTATAAAGACAATAGAAAGGAAATTTCTAAAAGAATGTCTACAAAAATCAATAGAGATAGCATTAAAAGGATGTTCGGCCCAGGATTGATAACTTATTCCATAAATATCATTGAGGAAGGTTTGTTTGCCTCATTTTATGTTTCTCCTACATACAATAACATACTTTTTTTCAGCGGATAAAAATATGAAAGATGATTCGAAAGTGGAAGTGAAGGATGCCCTCATTAGGAAAGCTAAAAAGATTTTTCTTCAGTTGTTGGAATGCCCGCTGTGCAAGGAATATATGTCTCCTCCAATTTTTCAGTGCCTTTCGGGTCATACCATGTGTCATGTTTGCAAACCGAAATTGGAGAATTGTCCTAATTGTCAAGCAAATATTGAAAAAACCAGGAACTATACCCTTGAAGAATTATCTAAGAAAGTTGAGTTACCTCAAATCGAAGAGAAAAGGCCCAAGGTTGAATCAGGCTTGAAAAGGAGTTTAGAAGAAAATGACAAAAATGACAATTCTGCAAAGATTCAGAAAAACTAGTAATATTTAACGTATTTTTTTCAAATTGTGTTTTCCTATGTTCTTATGTAATGATTTGTGAACCTAAATGTATTGAATTGGAATACCTCAATGAGCAACAGATATTTACCATAAAGTTTTTATTTTGTTTCTTTTTTTATATGTTATAATGTGTTTTATACTTTTGAATTGATTTGTTTTGGCATATGTGTAAGATTTCTGCAAATATTCCCAGATAGCACAAATACCTTTTGAGGCCCTTCTGAGGCGTTCACAATAATGTCCTCAGGACGTCGAAGACGAGTCTGACGACGTTCCTAGGCCGTCCTAATATCGTCTCGGGACATCATCCCTATCTTCTGGGACATGCATAGAACGATGTGGGAAAAACTTAAGGCAGTAAGGTAAGTTGGGGTAACTGCGACCCAAACATTTTGTAACAGGGTGATTTTATGGTTCTCGCAGATATATAGTAAATCAGACTCAAATCTTGATCTGGGTATAATTCTTTTAGAATTAACGGATGGCTAACAACTATCAAAGTCGAGTATCGAACAAACTAAAAGAATGAATCATAATTACTCAACTTGTTCAGGATGATAATTATATTTACAAGGCAAATTCCTGGCAAGATCACTTACCTAACACCAGGCAAACGAATATCTCCTAGATGGTATATCATCCATGATCACTCTCAAAACCACAAGGCTGTTAGCTTTATCTTTTACTGACCGAACGCAGATAGAAGCTTCGAAGGAAATTTTACAAAAAGTCTGAACAGCGCAAAAAACTATACGGCGACACACATTGTTGAATTTGATGTAAAAGTAAATCACGGCGACACCTTTGGTCATTTAATTGAAGGAATAACTTTGACCATGGTAGATTGCTACAACTTGCCCCCGATTCAAAAAGAGTTTTACTTCCTGAGAAAAACGAGTAAAAAATTAAAAAGAAAAACCTAATTTCATATGGCAGGGTGGTATAACCGAAGGTGGCTTGCGTGAAACGTGCCCCTTTCCTGTGGAGAATCATACTTTTGCAAAACATAGGTAGCATGACTAACTTTTTTTTTCACCCGGTATGGACCTTCGAATAAAAGGAGAAACTTTTTAGTTTCGGCCCGTACCGCTGATGAAATGGTATTGGCTCGCAAAAGAACTAAATCCCCAGGTTGATACGTATAATCACGTATAGCCGGATGTTTGGCGTTTCTACGGGCCGCCCTTCCTAAAAGTGTTTCCTTGGCTAGGATTAATTTTTGCTCTGGTGTAATAGGATTCACCCCTGTCGATGAACCTAACAATTTTTTTGGTAGAAGACGGTGCTTTTCATCACCAAAATGGAGTTCTCTCGGGGTGAAACCGGTAGATTCGTGGACCAAATTATTTATAAAATCCGCAAACTTCTTCAATTCGAACGCCCACCTGGTATGTTGGTCATGGCAAAACGCACGGCATAGTCGTCCCAATTCCCGCATCACCCTCTCTGAAGGGTTTCCCTGTGGGTGTCTCACCGAGCTAAAAATCACCTTGACCCCTAAAGCCTCGAGGGTTTCACGCCACTTTCCAGCCGTGAACTGGGTACCGTGGTCACTTAAAATCTTTTGCGGCCTGCCTACCTTAACGAAATAATCTCGAGTTAAACGATTCAGTGTTGCCCGGGTGGTCGCCTTTTTGACTGGATAAAACGTTACTAGTTTGGAAAATACGTCTAGAACCACGAAAATATAACAGACTCCGCCCCTACTGACGGGAAGAGGTCCGTAAAAATCTACCGCAATCAACTCATCCTTGCTATTTGGAATTATAGAATGATATTCCGAAGTTGCCTTAGGAATACCTTTAGTTTTCTGACATAAATCGCAGGTACGTATAACCTTTTTTACAGTTTTGTGAATATTACACCACCAGACCTCATTTCGAAGGGCACACCACGTTTTGTAGGCTCCAAAATGGCCCAAAATTTCGTGATATTCACGCGCGAACGTGTCCATAAGAGACGCTGGAACACATAACAGATAATATTCCTCGGTATCCCTACGACAATAAAGTATACCATTTTTCACCAAGAATCGACTGCGAAGTGCCTCGCTATTTGGCAACTGAACTTTGATATCAGACAACTTTTTGTCTTCATTTTGTAACTGCCCTATCTTTCGTAATTGTTCTTGGAATTCATCTGAAAACTTAAATAAAGGTAATATTTTAAACAATTTGTTTTCCGGTGTGGGAGGCCGTACAGCAGACTGACGAGACAATACGTCCGCAATAAAATTCTTCTTACCCGCAATATGTACCAACTCAAAATCAAATTCTTGCAATGCCAAAGCATAACGCGCTATTCTTGCCGATAAAAGCCTGCACGTTTTTGAATAAGTTACTGTCATGTTATCAGTATAGATGATGAACTTTCGACCTAACAAAAAATTCCTAAAACGTTCTGTAGCCCAAACTATCCCTAAAGCCTCTTTTTCGTTTATGTGATATCGAGTTTCACGCTCTAATAAAATCCGGGACGCCCATGCTATTACGCGCCGCTGTCCACCGACCATCTGAAAAAGTTGGCAACCTAATCCTCTATCCGAGGCATCGACTTCTAAACAGAACGGCAAGTCTTCACGCGGATGATACAATAATGTGACCTGTTGTAATTTTTCTTTAATTTTTTCAAATGCTGATTTTTCAACCTCCGTCCATTTCCACTTATTATTTTTGCGAAGAAGTGCAATCAGCGGTTCTGCCATTGACGATAAATTTTCACAAAATACTCTATCATAATTTGCTAGCCCAAGGAAGCTCTGAACTTGCTTTCGATTTTTAGGTGAAGTGAAATCTACAAGGGCTTGTATCCGACTTGGATCCGGCTTGTAGCCTAACGGGCTCAGCAAGTATCCCAAAAAGGGCATTTCCTTACGGAAGAACGAACATTTTTTTAGTTTTAAAGTGAAACCTGCCTGCTTCAACCGAGTGAAAACGAGATCTAAATGTCGCAGGTGATCGTTAACGTTTTTTGATGTGATTAAAATATCATCCACGAAAATGGTTAAAAAAATCACGAAAATCCGACCCAAATACTTTCGATAGACATCGAGTAAAAACACTCACACTAGACGCTAATCCGAATGGTAGACATCTAAAACAATAAGTTGTTCCATCGTATTTAAAACCAGTATATTTGTGTGACTCGGGTGTCAGTGGTATTTGATAATATCCACAGGTAAAATCAATAGAAGACATTACTGAAAAACCTTTCATTGAACCCAAAATCTCTTCGATTGGACGGGGGGTATCGTGTTCGTTGATCATTATACTATTCAAAAATCGCGCGTCCAAACACAAACGAACCGAATTATCCTTCTTCAGCGCTGCCATGAGGGGGGAAATATAAGGCGTTGGCATTTTACATATCACTCCCCACTCCTCGAGCATGTCTAATTGTTTTTGAATAATAGTTTTATGGGCTATCGCGATCGGGTATTGTTTCAGGCAGAATTCTTTATTTTCACGCAGACGAATTTCGTGAAAGTATTCGTTTGTTATACCGGGGCGCTCCGAGAAGATCTTCGAATGTTTTTGCAATAAATCATAGAACTGTTGCCTTTCAGAATCGGACAAAACTTCGTCAACTACCATATTGTTGAACGGTGATTTTTTCTCGTTGGTTTCTAACATGACATAATTAATTTTTTTCTTGGATACTGCTGAAATATTCAATGATTCTTCAGACCTACTTTCGTGAATAGCCCTAACTTCCGGAACTTCTAACTATTGGTTTTGGATTTTCATCAAAATGATTTTGGCTTTCAAATCAATTTGTGTGGATAACGAACGCAACAAATCAACCCCTAGTATTATTTGGTACGCGAGATCCGGAATAATCAAGAATTCAAAAATTACTTCAATTTGTAATATGGAAATAGTTAACAGAACTTGTTTTTTAACACGTCTCTGTTTGGCCTTGAATGCTCCCGTTACTCGGACTGAGGCACATGAAAATGTTGGAATGTTTTTCCAAAAAGGAGCTAATTGTTCCCATACATCTTCATTTAAGCACGAAACCATACTTCCAGTATCAATCAGAGCAGGAAATGTCATGCCATACAGATTAATTTGAATTATTGGAGAACGTGTTTCCGATTCAATATGATCAAAATCACATTCCTGCAATAAATCTTCTCTAGTACTGTTCAAACAAGCCTCGGCCCTGTAAACTGTTTCCCCCACGACCGGACCTACAGTTCGTGAGGCGAATTGCCGTTTCCCGAAACCTCAAAATTTTCGCTGTCCCCCGTATCCACCGTATTCTCCGATATTTCTATCGTCCTAACAGCGGCCGCGCTCAACGGTTGACCGCGATCGAATTTCTGCGTTTGCGTCAAATCACGATCGGTTCTTTTTGAATAATCGCGTTCGCGCCTAGACCATTGAGCTTGATTTGACTGCATAATATTATTATTTGTCCTTGATGACGCGTTTTGAGAATGAAAATGTTTCGTTTGATTCGTCTGATTTTGATATTGCATAGCGGAATTTTGTGCCTCCACAGAAAAGTAGTAATCGGCTTGTCGTAATTTATCCATCGCATCCCCTAGCGATGTGGTTCCTACTAATACTGCAGAAATATTTGGTGGAAAACTGCGAGCAATCGTTTTTATCAAAAGATTTTCCGGATAGGGTGGTATCAAATGTTTAGCCATTGCCACATGTCTCATGAAATGTTGAACAAAAGAGCCTTCGAAATAACGAGCAGATTGTAGCTTTAGTTTAACTTCCAATTGAACTGTTTCTGACCAAAATTGTTCTACGAAGGCGCTTTTGAACTCATTAAAATTATTAAATGCATGTAAGTACGCCTGACTCCACAGGAAAGCCTCACCTTTGAATTGATTAGCCATTGCAAATTTAAAATCTTGAAAATTGATATTCTCTGATCTCATACAGAATTCTATTTGCTGCAAAAAATCAATCGGATGTAAGGTTTTGTTGTCGAAAGTGGGCAATCTTTTAAATATTTCAAAAATATCTCTATGGTTTTGATTTGATCCCATGTTATTTTGGTTAGGTAAGTGATTTACATTTTGAAAATTCTGTAATACTTGATTAAATAACTCAATTAAGCGATATTCACTTCTTGAATTCTGCGAATTTTGATCTCCACCAAAATTCA